ATACATAATACATATATGTACTTCCCTGCAAAGATTGAATTCAAATGACATCCTACTTTGTTATTTCTAGAGCTTCAAACATAGCCGTATATGTCAATTTCTGTAAATGTCCAAAACATGGCCTACTTTGAGGGACAAGTGCACAACAACGACACAAGACCCCAACCTCCACAAGTATTCATTTAATAGACAAGACATAGTGTTACGTTGGGGAAAAGACTATATCAGATTGCTGTCTTTCTTTTGTAGATATAGTATCCTGAACATGGCTGAAAATCACATTTTCCCTCAAATTCAAAATTTGACCTACTTGTAAGGACAACCACGTGACAACCAAAGAAGTGCCCAAAGTTTGCAACCATGCATTTTATAGCACATATGTTTATGTATCTATGATTTAAATTTGAAGCAAAAAAAAATCACCATCTTTGGACTTACAGCACTTCGAAGTTGGGTAGAAATAACGCTTTTTCATAAGCCTCAAACACTGTATTGTGTTAGGGTTGCCCAGGTCCTTTAAACGAACTTCTTGAAAATTTCAACGCTATTCTAGAATAGCGGATTAGTTGGTCTTTCATGCCCATACTTTGTTTTTCCATAATATTAAAGCACTTGCTCGTAATCGTGCCTTAAACTATGCCAAATTTCATGTTTTTCACATGTCTAAATCAGGGAAAATGGCCCCGAAACTTGTTTGGCCCGTTACCATGGCAACGATCGGTGCTGACCGGAAAGAAAGCTATTTTGAGGGGTTGTGGGCCAAGTACTATCACTGTGCAAAGTTTGAGCCAAATCGAGTTTTTGACCCCTGCCACCATTGTTTGATCCTTACAGACATTCGCTCTTAAATACATGAATATCGGAAGTGGGCATACCTCAGAAATTACTGATAATGACGTCTTACATATTAAAGTAAAAGAACTTTTCAGCAGGTAACTGACACCTGGCTAACTAAACCTTAGCAATCCGTGTCAGAATCCGTAAATAATTTCATCAGGTTGGTAAACGACTGAATAACAGTTCTTTTTATCACAACCATTTATTTTTCACTAGCCGACGTCTCGATGACCGTCTGTCATCTTCATCAGGGCAATTCTGACTGGTTTACTGTGTACTGACACTAGATGTTACTTGGTGCACTAAAGGTGTTACATAGTTCATAGTGCACTTAAGCTATTTTTTTCTGTTTACACTATGAACTATGTAACACCTTTAGTGCACTATGCACCAAGTAACATCTAGCATCAGTGCACAGTAAACCAGTCAGAATTGCCCTGATGAAGATGCCAGACGGTCATCGAGACGTCGGCTAGTGAAAAATAAATGGTTGTGATAAATAGAACTTTGCTATTCGAGTCAGAATCATTTACTCAAAGTCAAAACAATTCTGGATATGTTTCAGGCCATTCAGGAACAGGCTGAATTCTCTTATGAAGCCCTGTGGACACCGGTACCAGACGTCGACTCTCCATTCATTGATGATCATACCTGTGACGTCATTTATTTCAACGGAAACCTCATCCACTGCATGGAGGAAGAAGGGCCGAAGAGTGTGGAGGTCTGTTGTTTCAACTAGTTATTGTAATACGTGTAGAAAATACTAGTAAAACACATATCACATGTCTGTTGGTCTTCCTAGAATATCAGTACACCCTGTTTAATGGTCTCATAATCGCTATACCCAATTTAAATAAAATATGAATAGCAACATTCGTTATTCACAAAGCATTTGTTTAACTAGAGTTCACGTTTCGATGACCGTCTGTCACGTTCATCAGTGTAATTATGACTAGTTCACTGTGCACTGAAGGTAGGTGTTACTGGTTCACTATGCACTAATTTAAGCTATATAGCCTGGGTGCCATCCTCCGTAGTTTCCGCCCGCTCCCTATAATGTCGCTGGGCGCCTTTTCGTAAGTAACTTAAAAGTAGTGGATGCTACTTCAAACGTCTGACAGATTTAAAAATCTATCCAGTTGCTTGAGTAACATTTTTCTTATGCACCTCTTTACCTGGATGTCTAACCTTTATCGACTTGACCGTGTATCGTTTTCGAGATCTGTTTCAGTAGGTAGGATTCTGAGCAGAGTATACTTAGTATTTACATACTACATGTAGTAGTAAGGCCATGGACTTACTGAACTAATCGATTTTCACCTATTGCAGATTTTTGCGGAGAAGTTTCCTGACCTGAACCGATCGGAAGCGACTGTTGGTGAGCTGCAAAATGTTGATGCTGGGCTGACCTGCTGCTCCCTTATTTTCTAAGCATTAACTATTCGATATTTTTACATTTAGACAACATATATATGCAAGAAAATGTCAAAGCAGGACACATTTAAATACTTGATGTCATGCAAAAACGAATGTATAGTGACAAACTATGTAATTATGTTTCAAAAAGAGAGAAGAAAGGGCAACTAACAGTAGATGATAGGTAGTATTTAGTATTGTTATAATGTACAAATTCCTAGCAATTAGCATTAGAATATAGCGTCCCAGTATGCAATACTCATGTTTTGCATACTGCATGTCCTCTTGTGCATTTAGCTCATCTGGACAAGAACATGCAATAAAGATTCATTAAACATCACATCATATCATTAAACAGTTTTGTTACTTCACTAGTGTCAAGATATACTGCTAACACACAGGACAGAAGAACATGTCCTTAGCCTATGAGCGTTATTTTTTTACTTGTATATTCATAGTACAAAACAGAAAGGACAAATCCCCAAGCCTGGTAGAGGCTACAAACCCCCGACCATTGTGGTAATCATAAACTGCAAGATTGTAAAACTACCAGCTCGTGCTTTGTTATCTCATCATGAGTTTAAAAAATCATGTCGATGGACCAGGAGAGTTATTTAGAAACTAGAAATGTAACATTTGTAGAGCGAATGCATAATGTTTACCTTCACACGTTCTAGCCTTAGGCTAATAAACTGCTGCATTCTTATTCAAACACGTGGTGGTCAACCCCTCTCTGTCCTGCTACATAATGTAATTAATTACTAGTATAACACAACACCACAAGGATGTGTGCTACAGTACCAGTTACCATGGTGACAGACCATGGTCCAGGTCATTGACTTTATGTACACTAGTACTGGTTCCCCCTATAGGTTTGTTGGGTTCCTCCTATAAGTGCTGAAGTTCCCCATACATACGGAACTGACAGCTTATTCAATGTCCCCTCCAGTATGTCCTGACCTGAAAATGATTTCATAACACTTCCTTTTACATGCCATTATGATAACATACAACAATGGGTTTGATGACACACACTATAGAAAGAACTGAAGAATTCTGAGATTTCATACCTCCATGAATTATATGAGTCTTTGTAAATGTTTTTTGTCTTATTGACAATGGAAATAAGGTCATAATTAGCATAATCTAGTTTAATTTATGGTTTTCTAAATTCAAATGACCTTTATCATACGTCATTTCAACATGTCCTCATTAAGTATGCAAATGAACCCCACATTAACATTTGTAATGCAAAGGCTGTGGAAGACGAAATAGACTTTATCTCAAATTGTTCCTTTCATAGCAACGCTCGAAATGAGTTAACTATTCAAACTTCCACAATTTATCCCAATTTTACTAAACTTACAGACCAAGAAAAAACTATTCTTCTTTTAACTTCCCAAAACCCACTAATTTTAGAAAAGGTGGGACATTACGTCTTCCATAGTCTAAAAAAGAGAAGTCAGACCCCTTAGACATAGTTTTAGACATAGCTATAGCTCTAGACAACTACCTTTTATCATGTAGATTTTAGTTATTTTATACTACGTTTCATTGTTCTTTTATGTTTGTAATCTGCAATTAGCCCCCCGGGCATGAATTTGCAATAAACTTCTAAAATTAACATAATATATGCATAGTGGTGTTAACCTTTAAGAAACTTACACATGTAACAAGGTATAAAATTCCCATCATTCACCAATAAGGAGTCACAGAATTTTCACAAATTAGTTCATCATTTGCATAATTGGTGTCTGTTGATGTTTCGCCTGCCACATTAAATAGATTACATGTATAAAAGTACTATTATATAAAACACTGTAATTATAGCATTTGCTCATTAATTAAGCAAATTAGGTCCTCACTTGCATAATTTGTACATTTAATTATGTACAACTCTCTCTCAGCTACCTACTCACCAAAAATTATGAAAATACGTTGTTCCTATCTGGACTTATTGGCTTTTAAAGATTTCGCCAGAAAGTGCCCTGCAGTTCCAGAACAAGCTGCTAGGGGGACCAAACTCACACCACTTATTCCTGACAGAAAAAGTTATCTGTCACCAAAAAGTCAAGACCATAGCATATTCGAGCCATATTCAGGACAAAAGATATAAAAACCGGAAGTTCTGCTGCAGTACCAAGGTCATCCACCAGGAGGCCCATATTTGATCTTGACCTTTGTCTTCCTAAGAGTTACCAACATTCCAAATATCATCATAATCCATAAAGGCGTTATGAAGTTATGCTGACTACAAATGTGCGGAATCGCAAACACACAGACAGACAGACACGCCAAAAACAATACCTCCATTTTTCATGGAGGTAATAATAGACATGAGCCATGCAGTGAAAGAATCTAGAGATAAGTTTATTACTAAAGGTTAGCAAAATTGGAGTAAATGGGAGGCTGCTGGTAAATCAAGTTTTCATGTGGAAGAAAAACAGATCTAAGGTTGCATGAGAACAAGACATGCCGGCAAAAGTATTTTCTTGTGCTACAAAAATACCCCATCACATTCGTAGCCCGAGGGCTGAAATGATGTATCTGTATATACACATGCATGTATCTGTATAGCCGGTATAACCGCCCCTTGGCGTAACACACCAGATGATTATGATGCTAGATGTTAGTGACACTACATAATTGTTATTATTGTAAATCGGCACAATGAGTTTGGAGCTTTTATGACTGAACAAAAATCAGTCAAAACATGCGGGCAGGTACGCGGACAACAATCCTGTATCTGGTGCTAAAAATATAAACACACAAAGAAACACTGGTATATGCTTAAAAATATCCACCACCCAAACATAGATAAACACACACACAAACACATATACGAGCGAGCGCCTCATACAAAACCTGTCCTGAGTGCTGAAAAACCATCCACACACCATTGTAATCGACAAAATTTGCCCGGTATACTCTGTACCTATTCGTGGAAACCTTTGGTAGATACGAAGAAGACAAATTGAACTCATCTATACTGTGACTCTTCTGTCATTTAAGTTTCTAAAAAGCGTTGTGCATGGAACACTTGTGACACAAGGACATACATGTGTACACGCACATGCCTCATACAGGAAAAACAAAACTTGTGCTTGGTTCTGAACATCATCCACGCACCATTGTGACAGACAGAAACTGTCCGGTATACTCTTCACCTATACGTAGAAACCTTTAGTAGATACGAACGAGAAAAATTGGACTCATCTATACTGTGTCTGTACTGTCAGAAAACTGGTAGTTAGTGAAACACTGGTGACTGTCAATTCAAGAGCTCTCCGCTCGTTCTGAGGGTGTAGGCTCCACGGCAACTTTCTTCTTCTTCCTGTACAGCAGGAACCCACCTATGGCTATTCCTGCTCCCACAAGAACCATCGCTCCGGTCACGCCGCCTGCTACTGCTCCTCCCGGTGCCCCGCCCTTGTTAGCGGCGGCGGATCCTCCCTCCCCCAGCCGGCTGGTAGTTAGCGACGCGGTCGGGGGAGGACTGGTGGGATCCTCCGGCTGTGACATCGTAGTGGTCACGATGCTTGCGTCATTTGATGACCTAGTTGTAATAACGGTTGTAGTCGCAGGCGAAGTGGTTGTACCAGCAGGCGTGGTGGTTGTACCAGTAGGCGTGGTGGTCGCACTAGCAGGTGTGGTGGTTGTAACAGCAGGTGTGGTGGTTGTAACAGCAGGCGTGGCGGTTGTAACAGCCGGGGCGGCAGTTGTTGCTGAAACGGAAGAACCCCAGTCTGTAAACTAGAGCTTCACCACCTCATGTTCAAAGCCAAGTGTAACATACACCATGTACCTTCACCCAAAGACAAAGCATAAGTGCATTTCTCTCTACGTGCTTTCTACTCTCTGTAAATTTAGGTTTTCCAAATTAAGAAAATCAACCAGAAGGGAAACAAACATGGGCTAAAGATCTAATCACTTATACTCAGTAACAGATAGACCATATTGATGACATATGGTTGATTGATTGACATACACATAAGCAAGGACATTATATTTTGGCATAACAATCAGTTGCTGTATATGATTAGCCTGGAGGTCAGCCGAGAAGAGGCTGTACGAGCAACCTCCATGGAGGGGCTCTGCAGAGCTCCTCCATGGAGGTTGCTCGTACAGCCCTCAGTTATGCAGAGCTCCTCCATGGAGGTTGCTCGTACAGCCCTCAGCTCTGCAGAGCTTCTCCATGGAGGTTGTTCGTACAGCCCTCAGCTCTGCAGAGCTTCTCCATGGAGGTTGCTTGTACAGCCCTCAGCTCTGCAGAGCTTCTCCATGGAGGTTGTTCGTACAGCCCTCAGCTCTGCAGAGCTCCTCCATGGAGATTGCTTGTACAGCCCTCAGCTCGAGATCTGCAGAGCTCCTCCATGGAGGTTGCTTGTTCAGCCCACAGCTCAAGATCTGCAGAGATCCTCCATGGAGGTTGCTCGTACAGCTCACAGCTCTGCAGAGCTCCTCCATGGAGGTTGCTCGTACAGCTCACAGCTCCGCAGAGCCCCTCCATGAAGGTTGCTCGTACAGCTCACAGCTCTGCAGAGCCCCTCCATGGAGGTTGCTCGTACAGCCCTCAGCGACATCTATGCAGAGCTCTGTGAATGGAGCTCTGCGTACAAAACAAGTCAATTCGTTGGCGTCTTAAGTTTTGTTTTGTCATATGTTTTTGTTATATGAATTTTCCCTTACTTTTTGGTGTATTATGTTCATGTTATTTGTTTGTATGATTCTGTATTCTGAATAAAGTAAAAAATTAAGAATAACTTCTTACTCATTAAATGTGTANAGTAAGGAGGGATCAAAGGCAGAAGTTATATCAAGAGCGGCTCAGACAGCAGCAGCTATGGTAAGGCTGCGACCCATCTGGAGAGACAGGAACATCAGTCTAAAGTCCAAGGTTAGACTGCTACGGGCACTGGTAATTTCCATATTCCTCTACGCATGTGAGGCTTGGACTCTGACAGCCGAACTGCAAAGGAGGATACTGGCAGTGGAGATGAGGTGTTACAGGATACTTTTAAATGTAACGTACAAGGACCACGTTACCAACACAGAAGTCAGGAACATCATTAAACAAGCTACCGGAAGAAAACACCTTGAAGATCTCCCTAGCAT